CCCACTCCCATCCTCCCTCCTCTCCCCCCACTCCCCTCCCCCCTCCCTCTCCCCCCCCACTCCCATCCCCTCCCTCTCTCCCCCCCCACCCCATCCCCTCCCTCTCTCTCCCACTCCCATCCCCTCCCTCTCTCCCCACCCCATCCCCTCCCTCTCTCCCCCCACTCCCATCCCCTCCCTCTCTCCCCCCACTCCCATCCCCTCCCTCTCTCCCCCCCCCCATCCCCTCCCTCTCTCTACTCCCTCCCCTCCCCCCCCCCCCCACTCCCATCCCCTCCCTCTCTCCCCACGCCATCCCCTCCCTCTCTCCCCCACTCCCCATCCCTCCCTCTCTCCCCCCACCCCATCCCCTCCCTCTCTCTCCCCCCCCCATCCCCCCCCTCTCCCCCACTCCCATCCCCTCCCTCTCTCCCCCACTCCCATCCCCTCCCTCTCTCCCTCCCCACTCCCATCCCCTCCCTCTCTCTACCCCCACTCCCCATCCCCTCCCTCTCTCTCCCCCACTCCCCATCCCCTCCCTCTCTCCCCCACTCCATCCCCTCCCTCTCTCTCCCCCACTCCCATCCCCTCCCTCTCTCTACCCCACTCCCATCCCCTCCCTCTCTCTACCCCACTCCCATCCCCTCCCTCTCTCTCCCCCTCCCTCCCCCCTGTCCCGCCCCCACCCCATCCCCTCCCTCTCTCTACCCCACTCCCATCCCCTCCCTCTCTCCCCTCCCACTCCCATCCCCTCCCTCTCTCTACCCCACTCCCATCCCCTCCCTCTCTCTCTCCCCCTCCCTCTCCCCCCCGCCCCCCACCCCATCCCCTCCCTCTCTCTCCCCCACCCCATCCGCTCCCTCTCTCCCCCACCCCATCCCCTCCCTCTCTCCCTCCCACTCCCATCCCCTCCCTCTCTCTACCCCACTCCCATCCCCTCCCTCTCTCTCTCCCTCCCTCCCTCTCCCTTTCCCCCCTCTCTTTCCCCCCTTTCCCCCCTTTCCCCCCCCCCCCGCCCCCCCCCCCGCCCCCCCCAGACAGAACTGCATCCTGGCAGACGACATGGGTCTGGGGAAGACGGTGCAGTCCATCACGTTCCTGGAGGAGGTGTGCGGGGCGGGGGTCCGGGGGCCGTTCCTGGTCATCGCCCCCCTGTCCGCCATCACCAACTGGGAGCGCGCGTTCAGCACGTGGACCCGTCTGAACGCCGTCGTCTACCACGGGGGTCTGGCCAGCCGGCAGATCATCCAGCAGTACGAGATGTACTTCCGGGACGCCAAGGTGCGTCTGCGGGGGGTCCGCGGCCGCGTCTGGGAGAGAGAGAGACAGAGACAGAGAGAGAGAGAGACAGAGAGAGAGGCTGTGCGTCTGCGTGTGTGAGAGAGAGAGAGAGAGAGACAGAGAGAGAGAGGCTGTGTGTGTGTGTCTGCGTCTGTGACAGACAGACAGACAGACAGACAGACAGACAGACAGACAGACAGACAGACAGACAGACAGACAGACAGACAGAGAGGCTGTGTGTGCGTCAGAGAGAGAGTGTCTGCGTCTGTGAGAGAGAGACAGACAGACAGAGAGAGGCTGTGTCTGTGTCTGCGTCTGTCCGCAGGGGCACTTTATCCCCCCGGCCCCCCCGGCCCCCCGCTCTGACCCCTGTGCCCCCCCCCTCTCCGCAGGGGCACTTTATCCCCCCCCCCCGCCCCCCCGCTCTGACCCCTGTGGCCCCCCCCCGGCCCCCCGCTCTGACCCCTGTGGCCCCCCCCGGCCCCCCGCTCTGACCCCTGTGCCCCCCCCCCTCTCCGCAGGGGCACTTTATCCCCCCCCCGGCCCCCCGCTCTGACCCCTGTGGCCCCCCCCGGCCCCCCGCTCTGACCCCTGTGGCCCCCCCCGGCCCCCCGCTCTGACCCCTGTGGCCCCCCCCGGCCCCCCGCTCTGACCCCTGTGGCCCCCCCGGCCCCCCGCTCTGACCCCTGTGCCCCCCCCCTCTCCGCAGGGGCACTTTATCCCCCCCCCCGGCCCCCCGCTCTGACCCCTGCGGCCCCCCCCGGCCCCCCGCTCTGACCCCTGTGCCCCCCCTCTCCGCAGGGGCACTTTATCCCACCCCCGGCCCCCCGCTCTGACCCCTGTGGCCCCCCCCCGGCCCCCCGCTCTGACCCCTGTGCCCCCCCCCCCTCTCCGCAGGGGCACTTTTCCCCCCCCGGCCCCCCGCTCTGACCCCTGTGGCCCCCCCGGCCCCCGGCCCCCCGCTCTGACCCCTGTTCCCCCCCCCTCTGTCCGCAGGGGCACTTTATCCCCCCCCCGGCCCCCGCTCTGACCCCTGTGCCCCCCCTCCCGCTCTGACCCCTGTGCCCCCCCCCCTCTCCGTAGGGGCACCCTGACCATTCCCCCCCCTCCTCCCTCCCTCCCCTCACCCTGACCATTCCCCCTCCTCGCTCCCTCCCTCCCCTCCCCCTGACCATTCCCCCCTCCGCTCCCTCCCTCCCTCCCTCCCCTCACCCTGACCATTCCCCCCTCCTCGCTCCCTCCCTCCCTCCCTTCCCCTCCCCCTGACCATTCCCCCTCCTCGCTCCCTCCCTCCCTCCCTCCCCTGACCATTCCCCCCTCCTCGCTCCCTCCCTCCCCTCACCCTGACCATTCCCCCCCTCCTCCCCCCTCCCTCCCCTCACCCTGACCATTTCCCCCCTCCTCGCTCCCTCCCTCCCTCCCCTCACCCTGACCATTCCCCCCCTCCTCCCCCCTCCCCTCCCCTCCCCCTGACCATCTCCCCCCTCCTCGGGTCATGACCCAACTGTGCAGCGCCTCGGGACGTCCTCCCGACGTGAAAGGCGCTCTATAAATGGAATCTTGTTGTTGTTGTTGTTGTAGCTTTCTAAGAGTCTTTAAATGCGCAGTGTGAAAGGAGCAAATTGCATCTATTCAACAACAGCCTCATCCATGCAGTGAAGCGTCTCGGAGCGCTTAACCGTGGTGGAGGTTGAACGAGGCCGGGGAGGGTGGAAGGTGACACGTCCGAAAAGGACGGTCTTCAAGCGGGACTTGAAAAAGGGGAAAGGGGTCAATGGGCGAAGCTTCAGGGAGAGAGTTCCTGATTTTGGGGGGTCAGTGGCTGAATGCGCGACCGCAAATAGTGGAGCGGATGGCGGTGGGGGACAAGCTGGAGGCCGGTGCCAGACGAGAGGAGGCACCGAGTGGTGGATTGGGGAGTGAGGAGGTCGGGGTGAGGTTTAATCTGATGAAATAATAGGTATTGAACGCCACATGAAAGAAAGGGCCCAGGAGTTGGCCAACAGTCACCTGAACCCTCTCCTCCTGGGCTGGAAGGCTCAGCTCATACCTGTGAGGGATTGGAATATCTCGTGACATGAGTGGAAAAGGGAAGTGAGTTTCTCTCTCCCGGGTCCTGACTGACAGTCCTCCACATTAATCCCCTCGGCGGCGGGGAGGGGGCGATCTATCTGTGGTGGAGGGTGGAGGGAGGGGGGAACTAAACAGCTCAGAGCCTGTAATGGGCGGCTTCAATAGATGTAAATGGCGTCTGATACATTTAGCGCTGAGATGTGTTGCCCACCTGGAAGATCGCAGGGAATTCCTTATACCGAACGTCCACCGAGTGAGGGTCAAACCCGAGCTTCTCGGATGCAGAACGACAATGTGGTGACTGTGCTCCTTGGGGAGGGCTATCGGGGTGTAAAAATAAACCCTGGTTTGCAAAATGAGACTTGGGTTTAAGGATATCAGGGATTCGGGACCGCGGTTAAAGGATATCCTTCAGATCTTGGGAGTCCTGTAGCTCAGTGGTTGGAGCACTCACCTTGAAAGCGCGAGACACTTGGGATCAATTCCCCTCAGGACAAAAACTTGCGCGAGTTTCCCTACTCCACACGTCTAATAATAATCCCTCCAAAACAAAACAAGAATAAATTGGTCATTTTCAATCCACGACTGTTTGTGGGACACTGCTGTGCGCACTCGGCCGCCGCGCTTTGCCCACAGATATTCGGTGAATATATATTCACATCCCGAAGACGTGAAAAGCGCTATATCAAATGCAATGATTATTATTATCATTATTATCACCCAGACTGCTTATGATTGAGATATTTTATTCCATGTCCCTGCCTTTCTCTCCCCTCCCACCTCTCCCTCCCCCTCACTTCACACCTTCGCAGTATCCAACTGTCACCCGATTGAAATCCCGAGAAGTGGACAAAGGCTGTGAATTTGGCTCAATCACATTGAGAGGACATTGCGTTTGAAAACTGCCAGAAAACCAACTGCTATACTATCAGACAATTACCTTTAAACGTGAAGGGTATAGGGCTGTGTTATTGGCTGCACTTCACACAAAGAAACTAATCAGATATAAGTATGAGCTGCCAACACAAGGCAGAGGAGAACGTCTGAGAAAACCGAAGAGAGCGACATGGAGTGTGGGACTACCTCTGGGAAAGGTAAGTAATCGCCTCTCAATTGCTCAGTACCTTTGTCACTACTTTATTTAGTTAAGATACTGTTTAAATATTACGTGTACGTTGATTTATTGGCTAATGACTTGTGAAATGAAGTTGGATTTCACTGCACTGTTGTGCTTAATGTATTAATAATATATAATTATATTTTATTATAATCCTCCAATTTCCTAATGTGCCTCATCACAGCAATGAGATATGTCGAAACGCTGCACAGAATATATTGTAAAGTGCATTTGGTATTTTGTGGGTGAAACACATCAGCCAAATTGAGCAAAACAGTGGGTTTGAAGTCCCCTCGATGTAGGTTCGGTGCTTTTTTTTTGGGTGGTGGTGGAGAGGGTTTTATTACCTTTGGATACGTAATACACAAGGAGTTTGCAGATATGATAGCACAGTGTTATCGTGGCTCTGGTATAACAATGAACTTCACTGTCGAGGACATATTAACAGTATTTCTCAAATATAACACAATGAAATTTACAGCAAACGTGTTAACATTTTTGTATGATCCATTGTCAATTTATTTTATCTAATTATCATTACCTGAGAGGTGAAAATGTGTTGATCGGATATATCAAATTACAGTACAAAGTTCAGGTTTTGCCTACGATGCACTGTGCAGGTAGTTTTTTTCAATTAGAAACATCTTTTTCAGGGATTTCGGTTTTATTTAATAACGTTTCTCGAAACACTATCTTTAATTATTTACGTGTAAGTAGTCTGTGAGGAAGGTCTGAATGATTCCTTTCTTTTTGATTGTTTGATTGTGAAGCGCTCTGAGACGCTATCCTGCATGGAGGGCGCTATATAAGTGCAAGTTGTGGTGCTCTTTTTGAATCCAGGTGGATTTGCCCCCCCCACCCTATTTCTCTTAAAAAATCACTCGGTTTTTCAGTCTTTTAACTGATGAGAAAAAAAAGCCTTTTCAAAATTCATTCCTTGTTTACTTTGTGATCCTAATTTAGCGACTTCAACTTTTCTCTGGACATATGTGTCCAAGGAATTACTGTCTCACATAATCAAATGTTAATTCCCACTTTAGCATCTACATTCTTTCCAGTATGGCCATTTTTATATGTCTTCAACATTTGCAAACTTTCTCAAAATTGAAAAAGCTGTCCAGTTTAGGCAACACGTACACACCTGGAACTTGCAATGTGAAACAAAACAGGCTTTTAAACTTTTGCCAGAGTTTTAATACTTCTCCCCTAACGACAAGTATGTATCATGAATGTGGTATGTATTCTGGACCGTTCGTTGACTGCTGAGTTGTTGAGATGCAAATCGAGTACTTAAGGTTTTGGAGAAGCAAATGTTTATACCCAAATGATATTTAGGAATCCCACTGCTTAAAATATCTCAAAGGGCCAACGCAAGAGAGTTGTGTTGCTTCACACTCTGCTAAGCCACATGAGCACCTAAACTTGGGGCAAAATCCCAAGCCTATGAAAAAAANCACATTAAAATAATGAAAAGTTGTAAATCAATCTTCTTATGCCCTAACCGTGAGGCTTAATTTGTAAATTCATTAAATGAAGGGTTGCTTTACTTGTCTCAGATCAGTATTTAGTACAGAGGATACATCAATCACTGCCACATATCGCTTGTCAAAAGTTAAGTGACATCAATACACCATAGAAGAAATTCAGTCTCAATCTTGGCAGAGGGGACGGAAACATTTCATTTTTCTAGTCTCGATTGGATCAATGCCAAACATCTTGAAGCTTTGAGTTCCACCTGTTGAATTATAGAGCTAATAAAATATAAGTATGTAATTTTAGTCTTTATTAGCACATTGAACGAGCTCCGTCATGATTACATCTCAATATTGTCTTTGACTATTGGAAACATCTTATTTTTTGAAAACTAATTCAACCACTGAAGATTTCATAATCAGTGCCCAAAAAATCCACTGTTTAAAATGTCTCGAACAGCAAACGCAGGAGAGTTAAGATTTTTTTTTACGTGTGTGGTAAACAAATAATCCCTCCAAAATAAAGCAATAGTAAATTGGTCATTTTAAATCCACGACTGTTTGTGGGACACTGCTGTGCGCAATTGGCTGTCGCGTTTCGCCCACAAATATACAGTCAATTCACTTCACAGTCTATTCTGTGAAGCGCTTTGAGATGTGGAGAAGAAGTGCAAAGCGCTATATCAAATGCAAGGATTGTTATTATCATTATAACCGCGTTCCTACTTATAATTTACGTTTTCGGAAGCCTGTGGGGTAAATAGACTTGTAAATACACGGGAATGTTACCCAGACCTGTTTGCGAGGCCAGCGCGCTAACTGCTATGCTATGGGACAATATTATTTCCAGTCTACACAGCTCCACAGTCTCTCAGACTAAGGCTGTGAGAGATCTCAGGTCTCTGTTCACAATGATTCTCAAATCAGCCCTTTGGAATTCCATTCCACAATCCCTTCACCTCACTCCCTCTCCGCATCCTTCAAGGCACGACTCAAGAACTTCCTGTTCGACTGCGGCTTCAGGTCCCCCTCCAACCCTTTATATTCTCTCACGTCCCAGCCCTGATCCACCCCCAACCCCACAACCCAACCCCCAGGACATGATCCCCGACTGTTCAGCGCATTGGGACGTCGCCTGACTTCAAAGGCGCTTTACAAATGTAACGCTATTGTTCTTTATTTAAAACTTTGACCCACAGGAGGTCATATGGCAAAGGGTTTGAGCTCCAAATGCAACCAAGTGAGTGGAGGAGAGGCCGGGAGCAGCAGATACGGTTTGAGAAAGAGGGAGAGAAGAGATCACACTGAGGAAAGGGATCTTCGTGACGATGATTATATGTGTAAGTGAAAAATCGATCTGAGTTTCTCCGCATCAAATGCTCCGGTGCAGAGTCGGGCAGATGTCAGCCGGACTCAGTTGGTTGCCCTCTGGGCTCCGAGTCAGAAGGTTGTGGGTTTGAGCCCCACATCGCGTACAATGACACTGCAGCACAGAGCTGGGGAGGGGGTGGGGGGCAGCGACACATTGTCAGAGGTGCCGTCTCTCCCGGTTCCCTGGTTTTAATGGAGCTCAGAGGATAGGAGTGGGGGATGGCGGCTCAGGTCAGCAACGGCAATCGGCGGGGATGGTCAGCCTGTCCACTGCTGTGGGGGATGGGAGGGCTATGGGGACTGAGGAGAGCAGCGCAGGGGGTCAATTTGGGATTGGGAACACGGCTCTTAATTGGAAAGACAATGATGGCCGCATCATAGAGGGGTTGAGGGAGTGAGAGAGATACAGTGGGGAAGGAGAGAGGTGAGAAGGGATAGGAAGGAGGTTGTGGAAAACCCTCAATAAAGATTTAGTCGGTGGGTTTGAAATGCGCGGCCGGGATGTAACATCACGCAGTGGATTTAACCATTGGTTAGTTCAGGTCGGAGATATTAAATAGCTGCCACCGTAGAGCATCCCCGCTCCCCTCCCCACTACAAGCCATGACCCGCCACAGCCCACTACCCGCAGTGACGCCCCCGCGATACATCGTCATTGACCCCGAAATTTTAAGCTGAAGAAACTCTGCGCCTCTCCAGACAGATAGTAAAGATCCTATGGGAGTAATGGATATCACCTTATCACGTCATCAGGACGTCCCACATCACATCACAGGATCTCACTGCCAAGTGTATTGACTACAAAGAAAACAATTAACATTGCATTTGCATGACATCTTTGACGTCGGATGGACGTACCAAGATGCACAGCAATGTGTCCCAAACATGTAGTAACTGATAAATGTTGTCTGGGATACTGTCTGCCGGGAAACTCTGGTGGGACTGAGAGAAACTCGCTTCTCTTTTGGAATCATGTCTATGGGATCTTTACTGTCCGCCTGAACAGTCGTGGCTGGGGATCTCATTACAACATTTCATCTGAAGCACAGCACCTCCTCCAATAGAAAACTTTTTCCGCATTAATATAAGTTTCTCCCTGTGTCCCAGCCAGTCGTCAACTACACTGCTCATGCAGTCGCCTCACGGCTGTTTGTGGGTAGTTGCTGCCGTCAGATACTGACACTGTCGAATATAAATGGAAGCTGCTATTGACCCTACAGTTGGCAGTAAATAATGTAAAACATTAACATCATCAGGTGCTGTACAAATGCAAGGATTCAATCGAAATTTGCTGAAGAGCAATTCGTAACGAGAGCTCATATAGTGCTTATCCAGATCTTTCTTTTCTCCCATCAGCGCCCCACGTGGATGTTTCTGAGGCTCATTCCTGGCCTCGTGCTCGCGTTGTGTTGACTCGTGCCGAGTTCCTCCACAAACACAGCAGAGGACATCACGAGTTCCATAAAGACACATCAACAACGCAGACTGCGTGCAGCGCCAATGATGCTTTGCAGCAGAGAGCGTCTCAGGAACCTATCGTGTTTCATGTTGAAGCGAACCGAGTCTCGCAAACAGGATCTCTGGAGGGTCACAAGCAATCGATCTCAGGAGATAGACTGTATAAATGTTCCCGATGTGATGAGACTTTCATACATTCTGAACACCTCGAGAGACACCAGCGATCACACCGAGGAAAGCGACTGTATAAATGTGTGGAATGCGGGAAGAGTTTCACAAGGTCGAGCAGTCTGCAGATACACCATCGATCGCACACCGGAGAGAGACCATACGCTTGTGTTGAATGTGGAAAGCGTTTTACAACGGCATCTTATCTCCAGATCCACCATCGGTTTCACACAGGAAAGAGGCCATATGAATGTGCTCAATGTGGAAAGAGTTTTACATCGTCAGGTTACCTCCGGATACACCATCGGTTTCACGAAGGAGAGAGGCCGTATGATTGTGAGGAATGTGGAAAGCGTTACACCACTTCAAGTCACCTCCATAGACACCAACAATCACACACAGGACAGAAACCGTATAAATGTGCAGAATGTGGAAAGGGTTTCACAGCATCGGGATCGCTCAAAATACACCATCGATCACACACTGGAGAGAGACCATACAAATGTGCTGAGTGTGGAAAGAGATTTTCAACATCGAGTTATCTCCAGGTCCATCATCGATCCCACACAGGAGAGAGGCCACACAAATGTGTTAAATGTGGAAAGAGTTTTGTAACGTCAGGGAATCTCCACGTACACCAGCGATCGCACACTGGAGAGAGACGGTATAAATGTGCAGAATGTGGAAAGCGTTTCACGACGTCGGCTTATCTCCAGATACACCATCGATCACACACCGGAGAGAAACCGTATAAATGTACTGAATGTCAAAAGAATTTTACCAGTAAACAGCAGCTCCAACGTCACCGGCGGATACACACAAGAGAGACTGCGTGATTGTGCCGAATGTGTGAAGAATTTTGCGGCGTCGGACCCGAAGGAAAATCACACATGTTGTTTACCAGGGGAAAGTTTTCAAGGAGCCGATACAGTTCAAAGCCCATATGAGAAGCTGCTTTGAGAAATGCATAGAATAACAGTAATGATTCGATGTGTACCGGACAGATATCTGTTTGATCCAACACCATTGACTCAGTTCAGAAAACCAATGCCACAGTTTGTCCCCTTCTCTCCTGAACATGTGCTGAGGAACCAGTAATTCCTGAAGGTCCTCCCAAACTATTGGAGAGAGACCATAGGAATGTGCTGAATGTGGAAAGAGCCCATGTCAGGCTATCACCGAGGTGTGTGACTGCTGGAAAGAATAACAGAGTGGCTCGGTGAGATATGTGCCCTCTGAAACGAGCTGTGGCTTCCAGTATCGGAGCTCACATCACTAAAGTATATATTTTTGGTCAAAGACACCTCCTCCCCTGGTTTGTTACCAGCAGAATGGGGAGTGCTTAAGTTTTTTTTACCAACCAGGTTATTTTTCGCTGTTTATGTTAATCAAAATATTTCCTTTTGAATTGCTGTGCTGATATGTGTGGTGGTGGTGGGGGCTGTGTTTGTGTGTGTGCGTGTACTATGTGTGTGTCTGTGGGCTGTGTGTGTGTGTGTGTGTGCGGAGGGGATTTGTATGTGCGGTGGTGGCTGAATGTGTGAGGAGGAGCTCTGTGTGTGCGCGGGGGGTGTGTGGGATGGGGGGCTGTTTGTCGGATGGGGGGGTTTGTGTGATGGTGTTGGTGGTGGACTTGAGGTTTGTGGGAGAGGGGTGTTAATCAGTTTATTTATCACTCTGTTACCATCGGGGTGAGACACTGTCGACGTTCACTGTAATGTTGCAATGAGCTATAACTAATGTTAAAGCCATCAGCATGGAATCATTTGCCGTTTTCATTCATTTTTATTCTCTCATATTCTCATGTGGGGGACGTAACGATAACCTTCGTCCCCAAACACAGATTGATCTGAGGTGACTTTATGGCGCTATATAAAACAGGACAAGTGGCTGATTCCCCAGACAATATGTTCAGATAGGCCAAGGGATCAGGACAAGAGATTGATCGAAGTGTAAAGAGCAGAAGGAGCTTCACTCTGTACATTGCTTTCATTTTAAACAGATAAACCGCTTGTTGTATTAACTTTGTTTTTTTGATTTTAACCCCAAGCCCCGGGACAAACACGGGAAGTGGTTTGGAAAGTCCTCGTGTCTCCAGGGTTTAAAGTGCAATAGTTTATTAAATCCCCAAATCTTGCATTAAACTCGGGAGCAAACATTGTCCTTTGCATTTAAATAAAACGGATTTAAAGTGTAAAATTTCTTAAACACAAAGTGAAACTAAGCAAATCTGAGTAGCACGACATCAGCTTCAAACCCACACAATAAACACAGGTTTTACTGTAAATACATTTAAACATCGACGTTAAACAATAACACGTTTTAATGTAACGTCACAAAACTCTAATTCTGTGTCTCTCACCTCTCTTTCTCTCACACCCTCTCTCTAACTCTCTCACTCTCTCTCTGTGTCTCTCACACACACTCCCTCTATGTCTCTCTCACACTCTGTCTGTCTCTCTCACACTCTCTCTCTCTCTCACACACTCTCTCTGCTTCTCATACTCTCTCTCTGTCTCTCTCACACTCTCTCTCTCTGTCTCTCTCACTCTCTCTGTCTCTCTCTCACACTCTCTCTCTGTCTCTCACACTCTCTCTCTGTCTCTCACACTCTCTCTCTGTCTCTCACACTCTCTCTCTGTCTCTCTCACATTCTCTGTCTATTTCTCTCTCTCTCTCTCGCTATCTCTCTCACACTCTCTCTATCTCTGCCACTTTAAGTCCAGACACATGGTGACTTTGCAAAGCGGTTTCCAGTGTTGTACCCAGAGAGGCGCTTAAAAATTAAACACAAAGTTAATGCAAATACACATTGATATATTTAATATTAATACAGAATTGGGAATATTTTGCACTGTTTCACTTTGACCGAGCCTTCAGCTCCCCTCTTGACTCTCTACCCCCCTCCTCGCTCCCTCCCTTCCCTCCCCTCACCCTGACCATCTCCCCCCTCCTCGCTCCCTCCCTTCCCTCCCCTCACCCTGACCATCTCCCCCCTCCTCCCTCCCTCCCCTCCCCTCACCCTGACCATTTCCCCCCTCCTCGCTCTCTCCCTCCCTTCCCTCCCCTCACCCTGACCATTTCTCCTCAATGCTCGGGTCCTGACCCAACTGTACAGCGCCTCGGGACGTCCTCCCGACGTGAAAGGCGCTCTATAAATGGAATCTTGTTGTTGTTCTTGTTGAATCTTGACCATGTGGGGACTTAGAGACACAGAGATACTGAGTGAGACACAGAGACAGACAGAGATAGAGAGAGAGACCCGGACACAGAGAGAGACTGAGGGAGACACAGCGACAGACAGACAGCAGAGAGGGAGAGAGGGAGGTCAAAACAGAGAGGGAATGAGATTGAGAGACATAGACACAAAGATGGACAATCACTGACACACAGGGATAAAGAGAGACGTCTCAAATCGATTCACAGGATACACTGTAAAGTGTAGTGACTGGGTGCTTTGTCGATGAAACGCGAAAGATAATTTGACACATAAACACCCAAAAAACAGGAATTATTTTGATTTATTTTGAGCGGATAATTACCCCCGGAAAGCGATCCCCCAATCAATTAACAAGTGGGTTTCCAGTTACTGCGTGTAAACAGAGTCGTGTGTGTTTGGGGAGGAAGGAAACTTGACCAGGTTTCACACGGATCGGCCTGGGAATTGAACCCGGGTCCTCTCGCGTGGGAGGCAAGAACTCTAACCACTGAGCTACAGGATTGCACAAGATAAGGCTGTACCACAGAGAGGAGGTGTACCAGGGGGAGGGGGTGTACCAGGGGAGGGGGTGTACCAGGGGAGGGGGTCTACCAGGTGGACGGGTTGTACCAGGGGGAGGGTGTGTACCAGGGGGGAGAGACTGTAACAGGGGAAGGGGCTGAACCAGGGGGAGGGGGTGTACCAGGGAGGGGGTGTACCAGGTGGACGGGTTGTACCAGGGGGAGGGTTTGTTCCAGGGAGAGGGGCTGTACCCAGGGGGAGGGTGTATACCAGGGGGAGGGTGTATACCAGGGGGGAGAGACTGTAATAGGGGAAGGGGCTGAACCAGGGGGAGGGGGTGTACCAGGGGAGGGGGTGTACCAGGTGGACGGGTTGTACCAGGGGGAGGGTTTGTTGCAGGGAGAGGGGCTGTACCAGGGGGAGGGTGTATACCAGGGGGAGGGTGTGTACCAGGGGGGAGAGACTGTAACAGGGGAAGGGGCTGAACCAGGGGGAGGGGGTGTACCAGGAGGAGGGGCTTTACCAGGGGGAAGGGGCTGTACCAGCGGGTCTTCTCCTTACATTTACAGCCCTCTGCAGTCTTGCAGTCTTGGCCCCTTTCCCCCACCCACACAATCTCCTTAATTCCCTCCGAATTTCTCCGCTCACTCCTTTTGCCTGTTTCATTTCCACAGCCCTGCCCTACCGTTGGCAGATGGGCTTTCAGCCAATCTTCCACCATTCACTGGTGCTCCTTCCTTGAGTTCCCCTCCCCAACGCAAACCACCTCCCCCCCACCTCCCTTCACCGCCGTTTCACTTGCTACCTTCTGAACGCCTTCCATCTCAAAGCCTTCCTCTTTGACCGGTCATCTTTCCGTCCCAATCCCTCTCAAGTACAACTCCAGCTCAGATACCCACGACGTTCCAGCGACTTGGGACATCATACTCACAAGAAAGGCGCTGTATACATGCAAAATGTTGTTGTTGTCGTTGTTGTTGTCTATTTTCTAAGCCAACTGCAGGATACTCCGCAGCACTGCTGATAACAGACCAGACCTCAACCCCCGGCTGGTTAACAGGACTTGGAGGGCAGACCAACCCCTGGCGTTGACACTAAGTAGGACAATCTTACATTAACTCTAAATAGCTGCTTAAATAAAACAAAACTATTCATTTTAATATTTCCAACAACCAGAAAATCCAACTCACAGACACAGGTGCTTCTGTGGTAAACAAATCTTTATATAGCGATGTGCATGTACTGAACGGTAGCGTTGCCAATCTGTGTCTATTATTTTCTTCCTCTTCCCTCTGGAGGATGTTCAGCTTCAGGTCAGTCAGTGACCAATATATATTCGGCATTTTCCTGATCTGTTTGCTCGCCCCTCTCCCCTTTCCAATCAGTCACTTTCCAACAATACAATAAGCCTCATTTCTCCTCATTTTCACCCAACGCAGACCATCTCACCAAAACATCCCTTCGCTGCTTGACCACATCACTAAAAACAAGAGAATGAGGTGAGGGGACTAACGATGCTCTAATCCAACTCTCACCCCCAACACTTTCCGCCCACAGGTCATCTCTTATCACTATCCATACCATTTGCTTGTTTGTTTGTTTGTTTCTTCCAATAATCGTCCCAAAATATCTGCTGTTATATTCCTTCTCCCCATAAACATATCCAACTCAGCAAAGCAAGAATAACAAATATCAATCAAGGAAACCTCACTAAATTGTCAACACAACCTCCCTGGAAAACATAGCCCCAGCAAGGCCATTAGCTGGAAGAGACCACTGTCTGTTTCATCTCAAATTTCTACAAATTTCTAAGCGAACTTTCATTGAAAAGAAAGTACAAAAGTATAATATGAGGTCACCTCCATCATATGGAGCACTCTGACAAGCTGCCCTGCGTGGAGGGCACTATATAAGTGCAAGCTCTTGTTCTTGTTACATGTAAAATACACAATAATACAGCATAAGAATCATCTTAACAGAATACAAAGGGTTGAAATACTAAAATGATTACAACTCTATATTCCATATCAGCAAAGCTTAGTAAAATCACGTCTACATCCCACGATGTATGAGTGTAATGCCAAGTCCAGCTGAGCGGGAAGCTTCACTGGCAGAGAGCACACATTGCATCCCACACACAGGGAAAATCTCCACATGTGCTCACTGCTGTGCGCAAGTTAGCTGCTGCGATTGCTCACAAACGCATAGTCACTACACTTAACAGTATAGCATTTAAAGCGGTTGGAGATGTCGCTCGGGCGTGACAGGCTCTATGCCAAAGGCAAAATAATATTATTTCTTTATTATTATAGATGTGAAACTCTCAGTCAGGAATGGATAGTTATAAGCATGTAATAGGAAGCAGATATACACACGAGAGGGAGAGGAGGAGGAAAGGGCACCATTTCGAAGTGTAGTCAGTTGTGCACAGCAATTTCAGGTGTGTTTTTCGTGCGAATTGTGCCATTTAACTCTATATTGCTTTGTACTGTAAATATTAATTAATTTGACTCTGAATGTTGAACCAGTTAAAACTTATCAATTTGCTTATGGTGGGCAGCAGCAGCTTCCCACTTCTTGTCCATCAAGGACCACCCTCACCATCACACCACAGACCCGCCTGACTCCCGCCTTACCGTCCAGGTGGGCTTTACATACCACACAGTACAAATAAAATATTGCAGCCAAGTTCCCTCCCATTCCCTTTCTTTGCCACCAATCCCACAAATATAGGTACCTGTGGGGAATAATAATAATAATAATAATCCTCGCATTTGATATAGCGCTTTTCACGTCGGGAGGACGTCCCAAAGCGCTTCACAGAACACACTGTAAAGTGAATTGACTGTATATTTGTGGGCGAACGCGGCAGCCGATTGCGCACAGCAATGTCCCACAAACAGTCGTAGATTGAAAATGACCAATTTATTATTGTTTTGGGTTTTGGAGGATTATTATTAGGCTCTGTGTGGAGTAAGGAAACTCGCCCGAGGTTTGGCCCTCTGCCTGGAATTGAACTCAGGTCTCTCACTTGCAAAGCG